ATTCCGTTTATAGAAGAAGTTGACACGTGTTTCGTGGCGCAAGTACAATTTAACATGCAACGGTTTCCTGATTTTCGAACGGTTGGTCCGTGTTTAGAACTCGCCGGCAAATGGCCATCTATATGTTCAACGATAAGTTCTGTCTATCCCGATGACTAACGCATCCAAGAATAAAGTAGATCTCACTGCGGCTGCTACGTTACTTTCCACGGAATTTCACGTTTCTCAGATTGTTTCTGAGATTATAGATTTTATGTGTATTATTTTAGCGCATAGTTTTGACCGATAAATGATCGAGATGAAGGAAAATACAATATGAATTGAATTATTTGTTAATCGAAATTTATGTTCTTTTAAAAACATTTTCCTATCTTCTTTACAACAAATGCTTATTGTAAATATTTGATTAATTATTCTCCTTTCCGATCCATAACTAAAATATAAAATTAACTTTCTCCATAGAAGTAATCCTTGAAAAATTGATAAAGATTATGTCCATATTCATTATATTCAAAATACCAACTTTACTTTACGATATCTTCCATTATTATCAATAACTTCCTCAAAAACTATCATTTCAATGTCAAATACATATATCAAGAAAGTCCCATAGCCGATTTCCCTTAAAATTCCCTAATGCAAGTAAATTCCATAACCAATTCTCACTTCCAATTTCCTATTTTGAACAAACGCAAATAAGTTCAAATTCATTTTAATAATTTTTAATCAAGGGGACGTACCTGTGTGGGTATGAAAGGTCTAGGCGCTTGAGTGGCCACTGGAATCGGTGACGGCCATCTAGGTCTAGGGCACTGTATGTATCCGGTAGGTGATCCAAAAACGGGTGATATTCCGGGTGAGATTGGCATTCCAATCGGGACAGGGCTCATCGGGTGCCTCGTTCCGGTATACGTCAACGGTGACGTAGGATGAGCATGATGAACTCGTTGAGGATGGGGTGAACCCGTTGGGCTGAAAGGAGATGGTGGTCTGTACTGGCCAGATACGTTCGGCCTGGCTGACCAACCACCCCCTGGCCCGGCTTTTCCATGGGGTTTCGACGGCGGCTGCGACATCTCTGGCTATTTCGATGTTTCTCGCGGTGCACTTCGATCACCTAGCATCGCTGCAAAGGATGTTTAGAATATTAGAATAAGTCTCGTGTTACAAGCTCTCTTTTAATCTTTAATTTGATATTATCATTTTTAATGGAAAGTATCAGTTAATAGAACGGATATCAGTTAATAGAAATAGATTACAGCATTGTCGATAAATCTTATCGTAATATATCATTATAGATAATAAAAATGTGAAGATGAAAGACGAGAAAAAGTATAATGATCGCTTTATTACATCAATCGGAATTAAAGAGATATTGCACGAAAGTTGAAGTGTCTTAGACGTGTAACGAGCTCTGGGTCGCGTAGTGGCAGTGAGTAGGCAGATTAGAATGGGCAATCGTCCAAAAGTCTCTCGAAATAGGCGCTTCGATTGTCTGAGTTCTCTCTAACTTCTGCACGTTAACGCGTGAAAAATGTGTAATGGACGATTCGCAATATCATGCGTAACACATTACACAATGAGAAAAGGCGCGAACTATTGATGATTAAAATTAAAATAAAAATATTATCATTTTTTACTTTCCTCTCTTTTTTAACAAAATTTTCTTAACTTAATTTGAAAGTTGAAAATACAATGAATATATCAATACTGTCTTAAAATTATTTTTTATCTTCCTAAAAAATGGACTAACATTCTAATAATTAATATCCAGATAAAAATACAATTTTCTCAATTCTTTCTACTTACTAATTCTGAAGAAGATATTGAAAAGTGTTCAATAAAAATGACGAATCTCGAGTAATAATTGTGAACTAAAAAAGGGTAAATTAATTCTCACGAAATATAAGGAAGTTCTACGAGTCAAAGGTCTAAAGGTTTTTGGCTAGATATCGAGTGTAGGCCGTCTAAATATAACGACAAATCTATTTTAAAGCGACTCAAGCACTGGCCACAGACATGTTCGACACAGCAGATATATTTGCAAACGACTACGTCAGATATTTCAGAAAAGTGACGTGAATATTAACACCTACAATTAGTCTCACAATGACTCGCGTTCACGGTGCATGGCGCCATCGTTCCTCGTACGTCACACGCATCACCCTTCATTTATCAAATTAACAATCATTCCCATTCAATGATTAATTTACGCAAAAGAATTATCTTCTGGCTCGAAATGAAATAAAAAAAAAAAAATAAAAATAAAAGAAACAAATAATAAAAAGAAATTATAGATAGATAGATAGAATCATGATCGTGACCCAATTTCAAAGATTTTTACTCGTTTCTCGTTTGACATCGATCTATTTTACATTCATTGTTGACTACTCCCTCGAGATTTCTTCGAATCTCGGATCCATTTCGAACATTATAAAAACAAATATATATCGAAGAAAGACCGAAGAAAATTTATCCAGCAGCAGACCAGAGTTTCCCCCCTCAAAAGCAACAAACGCAGCTGGTCAAAGACACGCGTCCATTTTGTTCTTGTTAAAGTTCACGAGCGCCATTACGAGCGAAAGAGGGATGTGTTCGACGCGCGTTTCGAGTTCGTTCCACCGATTTTAATAAAACATCGGGAGGAATCGACTAACGGTCTATTTATAAGTCGGACCACTCGACAACGATAAACCATGTACGTACGTACGTATGTACGTAAGAAAAGCCAGGAGCGCGCACGTTGTTCCTTTATTTGAATGTGGATAAAAATACGCATCGAAAGTGTATGGTTGCGGCATCGAGAAAGAATAAGAAAGAAAATTAAAGGAGAAATCATGGAGGCTGTATCTTGTATCCAGTTAGTTGGTAGTAAATATGGAAGAAAACACGTTTGAAGAAATTGAATCTAAGATGGTTGAAAATTGAAAAAAGGGATTATAGAAGAATGCAGAGTGAAACGGTTATTAGGTTGCTGGATCCTGGACCTCGGATGCTGCGTCCAAAAATAAAATAACTGCCGAATTAACGAACAGAAATAGTCTTGGTTCAGAACGGATGCTCCTGACACAGGTTGCACGTACCGGTTAACCCCGATAGGTAATTGCCGTAGAAAGTTTCGATCGGCACAGATTGGGATTAACGAATTAAACCTTCTCATGAACGAGAATGATTTGAAGAGAGCTCTTAGCTGAAACTTTTAGAAAAGTTCTAAAATTCGATAAAAGTTAATCAATGAAAAAGTTTCTGAATTTAAGTCTCTAGATATGAATAATTTTGTTAATATCAAAAAATTAAAGAAGTTTCCAATATATTTCTTACAAATATTTCTCAAAGAATCTCGTTCCTTGGGGAGGAGGGGGGAAGGAATTTCCAAGTTGAAAAGTGCAACAAAACTCTTTAATCGCAAGTTATCCCCAAAGCTTTTAAACTAATTAACAGAATGTGAAAAACGATACCGAAAAGACGTCGAGCCGCAGACACGGTCGATCGATGAAATCCCGTTGTAAGTAGTCCAAAGCAGATAGAGAGCACACGTTAATCGTGACAATTTCGTAGCGATCGATTCGATCGGTTTTTCGTTCAAGCCTCGATTCCCTGAATTTTCATCGAACCACGCGTTCCACACGTTTCCCAACTTAAAACACGCGAAATGAGCCTCGATGATGGAGGGTGATCGTGGCCTGATGAAATTATGGCGCGGAATCGATGGATCGATCGAGTTCGATATTTTCGGTAGTTCGGTCCACGACGAAGACCACGAAGAGACTGGTTCGCTCTCTAGTTCATCGGTCCAGGAACGGGTTACCGCGACATTTATATTTAACTTTGGCGTTGCTCGAGCTTTCGGCTTCGGGATTACCACTCGCGCGATTCCGCTTAGCACTGCTCGTTCTATATTTCCTCGTCCCTATGCCTCCCTTTCCGCCCTCGATGCTTCGATCATCCCTCTTCCTCCATCTTGTGCCTCTATCGCTTCTTGCCGCGCTTCCGTTTTATTATCGGCGCTGAGGTAAGATTGCGAACCTGCTTCTTTCTTATTCTTTCTTCTCTTTTTCTTATTCGTTCTCGTCCTTTTTTTTTTTTGGAGAGCTTGAATTTTTTAATACTTTTCCAGGAACATTGAATTTTATATTTTTCAAGAATTTGAAATCTTGATGAAGGTGTTTCGGGAATATTATAAAATTTAAATTTGGATTAATTCAAAAGTTGGATAAATAAAAAAAATTAAAAATGTGGGGAAATAATTTGAATTTAAATTAAATGAATGAGAAAAAAGGATGGTTTTATCTCATGGATTATTAAATAAAAAAAAATATAAAATAAATTAAAAAAAACTGCAACATAAAAAAAGAAAAAATTAGGAGGCCGCAAAAGTTAAATAATTCTAAAAAAAATATAACTTAAAAATAGAACAGAAAATAAATGCTTATTTATAAAGTTTTAAAACATGAAAGATAAGTTTGATATAAAAATTATATACACTAAAATACAATAAAAATTTATCGTGCTTTTACACATATTTATATCGTATATAACATGTGAACAATCATAAATGAGAAAGTAAAATCAAAATTATTTTTCATATTTTTACGTTAAAGAGCATTTTTAGAACAGAACACGTTCTCAAATATGTTACAATATATTTAAAATTAAAACATATCTTAATTTTAAAAAACAAAATCCATATCAAAAATATTTTTTATCTGATTTAAAGAAAAAAAAAATTTATGGATTGTAATTTATATATTATTAGATTAGATATCTGTCAACTGTATTAATAATAAAATAAAAGAAAAATTAGGATATATTGAAAAAATGTTAATCAAGAAAAAATTATATATATTATACATATATCATATATTATAAAATTTGTTGGTTCTTAAATCCAAGGTTTAGATTGAATTGTAA